ACGTGACAGTTAATAGGACAAATATACAATGTACTTGTACATGTATAGTATGTACTTACACTGATAGTACATGTACATGGTACATGAAATTGATAGACGGTACATGTACTAATCCAAATTATACATGTACATGTACATTAAAATATTCAAAGTAGAACTGTATGCATTACAGTAGTGGTAACAATAGATGTGAAGGCTATATAGCATCCTTCATATTTTAATAACTGACATTAATACAATTCAAAATTGTGACAAGACACTGTAACACAAGTCAGATGAGTGGTCATAAAGACAAGATGAACCATGAAATGTTCTACATACATTAACTTAATAAATAAATCATTAAATAATTGAAGAATGCATGTAGAATGATGTACATGTATCATTAATATAAAAGCTCTACATAATACTCAACTATTGACTGTACACATATTAATTATACAAGTCATTATGCTGTATTGAAATGGGATTCAATTATGATTGTGACAAGGTGTTATCAAAACAACTTACATGTACATGTACATGTATTCTCATTAGCAGCTAAAACATAAAACAGAGAATTATTCACAGGTTAGTTTGTACATGTACACTCATGAGTACAGGCTTGTTCAATTTAGGCTATTATTATCAGGACCTGCTCAGGATCTATCACTTTTTATTCTCCAGTTTATCATACGTACATGTACATGTAGACCAGGAATAGTCTCACAATACATGTACTTAACTGATTCTATAGAAATTAAGTTAAATGTGTCATTATTATGAGCAACAACCTACCAATAAGACACATGCATGTACATGTAATGGGTATGACATAGTTTTGTACATGTACATGTTTTTGAGAAATGAAACATGTACAAAGTTTACCAATACATACAAGTACATACCAGTACACATACCAAGTGTACTGTGTACATCAGTGTGGCTCACATCAGCTGTGAGGGACTGTACTGTACATGCATAAGAGTACATAAGAGGAACAATAGTAACCTAATAGTGGGATACAACTACCATGCATTAATATACACATTATACACTATAAGCTATTGCTACATAACCTGATACACAATTTAATTCATAGAAGAAGCTAATAGTGAATGTACATGCTGTAACTGTATCAACAATACAAAAGGTTAGGTTTCTAACAAAGGAGAGGGATCAAGCATCATAAGACACCAAAATGACACTACTAATGTTTTACAGTCATTGGGTAAACAATGATACTAACATGTGACATCACATACAATTACTATGAAGGAGCAAGTACTGACCATCATGCCAGACCCTCTACATCTTACATCATACATCAATAGGGAAGGAATGGACAACAGATAATCATGTGACACATTTTTATTATTTAAATTAATTTTACACATGGTAAGGGAGGAAGCACTCAAGCTGTTTCATTAAATTTACTAACAATACAGTACTACATACAGTATAATAACATCAGTTTAATAAACTAATAAATACATTACCTGAGTGTACTCTCAGTAGGGTAGCAACTTCAGAATGACCATTACGTTCAGCACAATCAAGAGCAGTCTTACCATACTATACAAGGTAAACATTGATTAACATGATAGTACAATGTTATCACAATCAAACTAAAAACCAACTTTAATTGTTGGTCTGTCTTCAATACTCCATAGTATTGAGTATGTTAGAGACAGTGGAGGTACATTTAGTGTACAAGTATACATTTTACTGATATAAATAATTACATGTACAGTACTACTAGTCTACATGTACATGTACATGTATATTTACACTGTTGCAGTATCAATAAAATGTTCTTGGTTATAACCATAAACTCAGTTACTATACATGTACATGTACATGTAGATAGAGAAAGCTTCATGACTGGGATTAAACATCCAAGAGGCTTAAATTTTGATGCTTGATTAATGCATAAAATTTTAAGTTGTTGTCAATACAGACACTGACCACAAGGGACCATAGTGTCCTAGTGGGAGGTGTCTGTAAATCAGATACCGCCCCAGTAGGTAAGTGATATAATTACATCAATTTGAGTGGGTGGATCACATTATATATTCATGCACAGTATAACTACATTCTAAGTATGTCCTCCATACCAAAGAAAATGTCAATGCCCACTGGCCTCTTGTAAGTCTATCTGACATTATTATACTATTATACATGTAACATTATAAAGTATTACCATGTAGAAGTGTAATTTTTCTGAAACTTTAAATTTTCAAAGACGCTACACAAAGCAAATTTTAATTTTTAAATTTTGTAATGTTTCATTTCAAATTTTTAAAAATTTAAAAAATTCTTTTTTCCATACTTTCTTCAAAATTATTGATAATCTCAATTTTCTTCTATTTTCAAAATTTTAAAAATTAAAAATCAAAAAATCATTACCATCAAAAATGTAAAATTTTTCTATACTCAAAATTTTTGAGAATTGGCACCCAAAAATAAATTCTAAAAAATTCAATTTTTAAAAATATTTTTTATTCAATTTTTAATATTACATTTTCAAAAAGTTCAGGCCACAAAAGTTTCTCACTTTACTAAATAAAAAATTATTGAAGTAAAATAATTATTAAAAAAATGCTTTCCATAAAGTGATACAGTAGAGTACATTAAGCTATACATGTACATGTACACACACTGTATGAGATATACAGCACCTGCGGTTACTTTGATCCACCCACTCAAAAGGATATACATGTACAATCACTATTGGAGTATAATTAATGATTATACTTACAACAGTAGAGGCAGTGACATCTGCTCCTATTTCAAGGAGCATTGTCACTACCTGTGTGTGACCATTCCCAGCTGCTGCTATGAGAGGAGTGTATCCAAGCTACATGTGTATAAAAAGAAGACAGGATAATAAAGACACTAGCACTACACAGTCAAGTGTCATATCATGTTGTGTACTGTAGTAGTCTAATATAATAATAATGTTAATACTCATTATAATGTGTTA